GATTTAATAACTGGTGGGAAGGAAGAAAACCATTTGACAAATGTAGGCCCATAATACATGATAAGCTCATCATTAGGTAATTACACACTTAAGTAATTACATCATCATTTTTAAGAGTGCTGGGAAGACGGGACACCACAAGCATAGCTCTCATCCTGTAACTACACCTAGGTAATTATACAGGAAACAATTACAAACAGAGTTTGTTGTGGGTTTTGGTTAACTCATTACAGCCATATAGATTTATTATAACCATATTTACATCATTTGTATAAAAATCAGGCAATAATAATAAAAATCTGCAATTGACAATGGCTGCAGTGGCCTAGATCAACAAATGATGATGATTGCATTTTGAGGGTTAAAGTGAATCAAAGTTAAACAGCAGACCAAATCCACACAATAGATTTACCCTCTAAAAATTCAAATTTCAATCCAGATGCCTGAGAGGATTTGGTGCAATTCAAATCGTTAATTCATTACGTAAAAGTAATTTTCATAAACTCATTTTTTTTCTAGGATTTCCTAATCTTGTTTATTTGTAAACATTTGAAATAACATACTACATTAATATTCTATGTTTTACTAAGCTTTTTCTGTACCAAAATTTGTGCAAAAGATTTGTTTGTGACATTTATTTACAGTATAAATGAGTGCACACGTACAGACATAAATGAGTGCACACGTACAGACATAAATGAGTGCACACGTACAGACATAAATGAGTGCACACGTACAGACATAAATGAGTGCACACGTACAGACATAAATGAGTGCACACGTACAGACATAAATGAGTGCACACATACCACCTGTGTGTTTTGTCAGTGTGAGTGTACAGTCTGACCTCTCGCTACTTAAGCACATCTTCACTTATTTTTCTTTTGATATATCATTATTTATATGTTGAAACCATGTCAGCTGGCAAAAATGATAAGGGGTAAGAGGTAGGTAGGGGTAAGAGAATATTCCTTACCATGAATAGAGACAGTTATTGGAGCAACTTAGAATGCTGGGTGGCAAGCAACTGGCAGAGTATGGTATTGGCAATAGTACAGTTTTGGATATAAAATAGCAGAGGGAGGAAATTGTGAATTGTGTGTTGGAATGAGCGAGAGCAGCGGTGGGAAAAGTAGTGAAAGAATGACATTGGGGCCAATTAACCCTTAAATGGCGCATGGCTATATACCATTTGACACCCACAGGCGCATACCAAAAAATAAAAAATAAAATTCTTTTTTCTTCCTGACCTGTTAATTTGTGTTCACTGATCATGGGAAAAAAAATAAAAAAATCGTAAGAGGCATATATTGCCCGCTATAGGGTGGGGAAGTCTGGCAAAAAAACAGGAGCTGACTCAGCGTGCGTCCCAGGCGGTCTGTTGATCGCCAGCTGTCAGGCCGGAGTTGCCACAAAGAGATAATTACCTAATTATTTCAATGTCTCTGATTGATTTTTCATAGTTTTTTGCTGTAATATTATTCAATAGTGTGTAGTTTGATATATTTATATAATAAATGAGTGAATCATCGCTGTACTCATAAATATGGTGTGCATATTGATTCAATTATGTTCATCAATCAGTGAACAAATACTTTGTCGGTTATTACACTATAAACACAGGTTATATATAAGTATCTGCATGTTTTGTTCACCATAACAAGCCACTAAGTTGCTATTATGAGTCAAAAAGTAACGAGGAGTGACCGCCGTGTACCAGCCAGCCAGCCACTCACGCCCTCCCTCAAGTCACCTGACTCACCCACATTCTCCTCCCACAATACTGTTTTTGCTCTTATATACAGACGTTATATATAAGTATTTACATGTTTTGTTCACTATAACTGTACATCTATGCTTGTATGGTGAGTAAAGGCATAAAGACGTAGGACCTCACACAGTCAGCTGATGGCTGCCGCCCTCAAGGCCAGACGCACTAATATTTCTCCTCCAACATTACTATGTAGTGTTATTTCGCTATATACACACATTATATATAAATATCTACCTGTTTTATTCACCATACTTGTACAAGTAAACTGGTATGGTGACCAAAGACCATCGTGGTAACCAATAAACAACACCGTCGTCTCGGTGGCGTCGTGCAGACGACGCCACCGCCCTCACTAAAATGGCGGCTCCCAACCTACTCTTGCTGTTTATACCCTCTATACACACGTTATATATAAGTATCTACATTTGTGTTCACCATAGCGAACCACTAAGCTGGTATGCTGAGTGCAGTCAATAAAAGGTGGCCACACACAGTCAGAAGACATCGCCACTACCCTCCCTCCCACACCATTACTCCTCCCTCCATGGTGCACAGCCCTAAATATCACCACAATCCTGCTATTATCAGAACCCTGGTCAGTTTCATCACAGTCAGGGGTCTTCTTTAATAATATCATCGCTACATAATAGCATAAACAAGTATATTATGGCATTTTTAGGCGATGCTGTGGTCACAAGCTGAACAGCAGTGCTGTGAGCTCATGCTGCGTGCGTCAGGCTTGGTTGCTCACTCAATACTGAGGCCCTTCACACCCGGGAATTTGGCCCACGATTTTTTTTAAAAATGGCGTCTGTTTACAAGAGCCCTGATGAAGGTGTGGTGAACCCCGTGTATCCGCGGGCCGTTTAAATCTTGCGTAGTACTCCAAAGCATCACATGATGCGATGCGCAATTTACTGCAAGTCGGTCAAAGCATCATATGATGCGATGCGCAATTGAAGGGTTAAATATAAGCAGCCGTGTGATGCCATTAGAGGGTGGTTCACCCATCAGGGGCCATTGAGGGGCCTCGTAGCCTGGTGGATAGCGCGCAGGACTCGTAATTCTGTGGCGCGGGTTCGATTCCCGCACGAGGCAGAAACAAATGGGCAAAGTTTCTTTCACCCTGAATGCCCCTGTTACCTAGCAGTAAATAGGTACCTGGGAGTTAGTCAGCTGTCACGGGCTGCTTCCTGGGGGTGGAGGCCTGGTCGAGGACCGGGCCGCGGGGACACTAAAGCCCCGAAATCATCTCAAGATAACCTCAAGATAACCTCAAGATCACCATACAGTGGGGAAACCCCTTCAGTGCCACACAAATTCAGTCTTTAGTAGAAAGAATGTCACATACTAAGGGTACCGAGGATTTCAAGGCTAGAGCACACTGACTGGATTACCAAGACTAGCCTGCACTACAAAAAATAAAAATAATTGAGTATATTTATACAAGTATTATATGCTATCAAAATCTTTGTTTATATATTATTTGTGCCTAAATATGCTTAAACAAGTACTGTAAGAACCACATGCTTTCTGGACACTTCAAAACGAAGGCCCCAATCTTTCAAAACATGACTGATTAAGAAATTACAGGTTTATTGACAGCAAAAAAGCCAAAAAGAGTACAATGAAGATGATAGCGAGGACGGGGATGAAGAAATGTTAAGGAAAAAAGGTAACATGGAAAAAGTTTAGCAATATTTTGAAGGCATTCTTGCATTTATGGAAATGAGTAACAGTGAGTTTGACACATAAGGACATGATGAGCTGGTACAATTTGTATATGAAGGTTTTAAAAACAAGAGCAAAGGGAATGAAACAACTATCATCTAAAGAGTCTCTTGCAAAGGCTTGCCAGAAAGCTCTCATTACAATTGACTCATCACATTTTGTCCCTAATACTTCAAAATCTAAGGTTACCACATCACCATTAATCTCCATTTCAGTCAACCCAACACAATCAACATCCACCACAACCCTTTTCATGTAAATAACTGCTCCATCAACAATAAGAATGACGTAAACAAGTTTATCAGGACTTCTCGTATTGGTGAGTACAAACAAAATACTGCTGAATTTATGCCATAATATTGTCAACTCCCCCCCCCCCCACCC